TACTCCGGTACTGAGAGACCATCATCAGATGGGAGCTGATGAGTTTGCTCACAATTGCTGATGCCAAGGTCATGTGTGAACTATGACACTGGGAATCCTGAGGTGAATCGTACATATTAAATGAACAATTATTTCTTGAAAACTCTGAATTATGTTTCCTAATAATTCCCGAATTAGAGAGGTCTCATTCTTTTTTTTTTTTTATTTCTTCAGACTGACACATCCAAAATAATACAGCGCTGTCAAAATAAGAAACCACTGTTCTTCCCACAGACATGCCACTAACTCCAATCATTCCTTTCCTAATTCAAGAAAGTCAGATGGATTCTACATTTCCTCACAAATCAGAAGAAAAATGTAAGCACATTTTCATTGCAAAATCTGTGCTACTGCTAGTAATTCAACATGAACTTAGATAATTTTTCTCTTGACAGAATACATTTTTATTCAAACATTTTTAAAACCTTTCCTGATTTAAACACTGAATAGACTTTCAACAGGAATCCTGAGGGAAAAAATAAGAAAGGGAAAAAAAACAAATCCAGAAAGCCCTCCTCTATGGAACATGTGAAATGAACTGTAGAAAAGTTCTTTTAAGGGTGGAGGTGTACCTCAATTGTGCTTGAACAGGTATCAGCTGATTCTATCAAATGGCCACCAAGGTCAAGGACCATCATAAAAATCAAAGCAAGAACTTTTCCTAGGCAAGAAAATATATATTTTTTTCAAAGAAAGTTCAGTGATGTGGTCAACATACTTGCTTTTTATGAACATTTATTTGATTTATTTTAGTGAAAACCACTTCAGTTTAGCTGTTAAATATTGCATACTCCTTTTCCTACTTCAAGGCTCTCAGAAGCATATTTCATAATTAATATTTGTATGCTTTTTATACGTGAGTCCTCTTCTTTGCACAACTCCCTATAAATCATACAAATGAATGACAGACAGAACCAATTAGAGCTTTCGCGCACCGGGGTAGAATGGCACTTATATGTTTGTGCAGTCTCATTTTAATGGTTTCAGGTTCCAGAGTTTCCCTGAGGAGATTATTTGAGAGCTTACTGCAATTTATTCTCATGATAGTCAGCTTCAACATTTCCTTTTCCAATTGTATCATAATACACTTACATCCGACATAATGTATTACACATTTTCTCCTCTTGTGAAGCAAGGTAGATTCCATAAATCCTGCAATAAATTTGTCACCTTTTCTTACATTCTTATAAGTCCTTATTAGATGAGCTATGTAACGTATGCCAGCCTTGACAGCAACTTCATAGTTATGACTCTTTTGTGATTTGCACAAAAAAGTAGCAATCAAACCCCAATACTACAGTTGTACTTTATTTAATCTCCAAATTAATTGACAAAAATAAAAATGACACCTGTTTTTAAATAATTATATTACGGTATACATTATAAGTATAAAATACTGCCCTTTTTTATGCACACTTTCAGAGTCTTACCTCCATCTTCTCAGGGTCGTATAATAACATTCCAGGAGCAAGTCTCATCATGTGTCTTTGGAAGGAACCACCTAAACTTTCCAGTTGACTGCACCGAAAGGAGTAGCATCGTATAAGCATGGCTTATTCTGTCCTGCCATGTGGGCTTGTCCCTTGACCCCCCTGCTTGCAGACTCCCAGCCTGCCCTTCCCATTCAAGCCTTGCCATGGGATTTCCCCCGTTCCAGGGCTCATGCTCAGCTCCTTCACCAGGTGAATGCCCTTTCACAGGAAACGGGGCTTAGATCAATCTTTTTTATGATTCCAGATTAAAGGGACTACGAGAGCTGGGGAAACACATTCCTGCAAATTTAAGGAAGCTAGGCTAGACATGTTAACTTACCCGTCTTAAGTTATACCATAATTTTAAAGAAAACAAATGAGAACCAAAATCCAGGGAAGCACCTGTTAATCTCCTGATAGTTCATGTATGTTCATACAGACCCTAAAATTACCCAGAAGATGGCTATCAAATTACAGCTCATGGAACACTATTCCTACCCGACAAATATGTTCTACAAAAGTACAAAGTCTCCTGGAAACTCTCTCAGGTGGTACAGATTTGGTAATTAGAAAATGGTAGATTAAAACAATGAAAGCAGTAATAAAAAGTTAGAATATCAGCTTGAGCACTCAGTAATACAGAACAGGTGCTCTAATAGTGAAGGTTTAAATGCTGAATGAACAGGGAGATGTCCTACTACTCCACTAGATTTTACAGCTGTGGAAGATGCTACAAATACCAAAACCTCTACTGTGATTAATAATATTATTAGATCATTTTTGGAAGCTGGCTTTAGAAAACTAATAAAACAGAACTAGAGACCTAGAGAAGCCTGCTCGCATCTCACGGCTGAACCTGTTGCAAGACTCTCTCCGCATTTTGTGTCCTGCACCCACCGGACGGGGAATGGGTGCATGTGCTGGAGCCCTCCAATGTGCTGCGCGCTGGGTAGCCGGTGGCCACCACCTCCTGCCCCCTGATCTGACAGGACATCTTCTACCCAGCTGGCAAGCCAGGCAGATCCCTGCGGGGAGCTGCAACCAACCTCTCCCCAGCCACATGGCGTGTGGGCCCTGTTAGAGGGAGCCTCTGCTTCATTCTTCAAGAAATCTGTCATTTATTATTGAAAGGAGTCCTGTATGGCTGAACTAATCACCGCCTTGAAGTCACTGGAGTGGGAGCAAAGGAGAGGGCAGCCAAATAGTTTGGAATGCGGATAAAATACTTTTGAAAGTTTAAGGGATCACTGGATCATGTACTCTGAGGATGGGCCAGTAAGTCTTATCACTAGTCTCAAACTGAACCAAGGAGCTCGTTTATGATTAAAAGCGTTACACTTGCAGTAGGTTATCTCAGCTCCCGACCATTGATTCTTCTTATATGTTTTTTTTCCTGCCATTTTAAAAAACTTTAGCATGCAGGATATTTTGCTTGTGAAGGTGTTCTAACACTGCAGCAAAGCCAACCCCTGCAGATCTTTTTGACAAATTAAATTGATCTAACTTTATTAAGGTATAGTTGCAAGGGATTCCCTCCAGTCCTGTAATATTTTGGCAGGTCTTTTCTGCACCACCTGATCTTTAATGTCAGAGCTACACACCTTGTTCTAGTACCAGTCTCATTAATAGACACAGTAATTGATTTCCTGTACACTAATCCCGTTAGCACATCCAACAGTCACACTGGTCACATGGCACTGAGACCTCATCTGTTAAGAGTTTGCTTGAAACTGGTTTTGGACACACTTTTTCCAAGATACAAGCTCTCATTCCAGAGGCATGGCTTGGATTCTTGGAAAACAGATACGCATTTAGCTGAAAAGGCCTGTTTGAAAGTGTTGATTTTACTAAGCAGTCCAGATGACATTGCAGTTGCTCTCACAGTAGTTTACCAGGTTACCATGTAGCACACCCAGGGATTTTATTAGCAGCGAGTTTATTTTGGATCTGTGGCAAAAGTCTTGAGGTACGCCCAGCCTGCAGAACCTTGCAAAGCCCAACACCACCAGGATTAACCTCTGATCTTTTTTCTGATGGTTCAAAAGTCAGAAACTCTGTAGCTGTTTAGGGCATTAACTATTGAATAGCATCAGCCACCAGAAATATACGTGATATTGACCACACATCCTGAGACCGTCTTGCAGGTCTCCGCCTGATGCTTGGGAACGGCAGAGCCATGATGCTCCTGCACTGACTTTTCTCAATTTACCCTTAAATCCCGGGGCTGCTCTGCGAGACCTGTGCCAGGGCTGATATTAAGGATACCCGGCCTCATCAACCGCCCCCCCCACCCCCGCTCCTTCCCCACCATCCCACCC